CAGTATGATCTCAGTATGATCCCTGTATGATCCCTGTATGATCTCAGTATTATCCCTGTATGATCTCAGTATGATCCCTGTATGATCTCAGTATGATCCTAGTATGATCCCTGTATGATCCCAGTATGATCCCTGTATGGATGCATGCAAGTCTTTTTCCTTTCTTTGTGGTTCCAGGATTGAGCCACATGTTTCCCTTTCTCGACCTCTGCAGTGAGGAAAACTGCATTTCTTTTGTGTTTCCTTTTTTGTCATCAGGAAAAGCTTAAATTGTAATTTCATAGACATATGATGACATAAGAGATCGTTACCATCCATTGTGGCTAAAGGTGGAAGTGGACATGAGGCTCCTGGACATTCTTTACAGTAAAAGAAGGTTTCATAAATATGATTAAAATAACGTATTCTGATTATGGCCCTGGTGTATACACACAGTCTGAACATGCATGTCCACAGGGTGGAGCAGGTGTTATGTTGCATGTCTCGCAGCTTCTCTGTTCTCACTCCATGCTGTGTATTTACTGAAATAGCCTTTAGCATGTTCTGCAGCTGTAAAGGTCGTCTTAATGAAGGCAGATCATTTACAGGAAATGAGTTATCAAAGTAGGGACACTCACCTCTGGTGTCACCTTGGTGGGCTGAAGAATAAAAAGCTGCAGAGCTGTGAAGACAGTGGATTGATGTAAATCGCTATCAGAGATTAGCAGGCACGACTTAGTTTGGATACAAAGAAGCAACACAACTGTACCTCCATCAAACAGAGCCAAGAATGCCAAAATAAGGAAAGGAGCTGTTTTCCCAACAAACTCATACATCACACTGCCAAATGGGGGTCCAACTGTGAAGAAAAGGCTGAATGGTGAGTAATGGACAAATCGACAGTGCACTCAGGATGCCACAAAGCTCAGGCTGTGTCTGCTTATTTCTTTATTTCCTGTGTAGAAATGACATCTTCTCTGTTGTCATCAATTATTTATGCATCAGTAGAAGCTGCAGCATACAATGTTCAGCCTGGACAGTTCATCAGTTCAGATGTGAATGCAACACTGTAGCAATTGTCAGACAAAGCAGACTTTATATGTGTTTTTATTGTGCTGTCATTTATTTGGAGTTTTATGTAAAGATCCGGTGAATATTTCAGATTTGGTGTCTTTACAGAGTAACTGAAAATCTACACACACATACCTAACACTCCTAATGCCAAACCTCCCAAGGCAATGCCAATGGCATGACCTCTCTCCTCATCATCTGTGTACACACTGGCGAGCATTCCCATCCCTGAAAAACACACAGTTGTATGGCAGAAAAAGATCAGAACGTGTTTGTTTCAGCAGGAGCGCTGCAGGCCTGTGTGCGACATGCAACACACAGGCCATTGTACTGTTGTTCTATAAGCGCAGGAAACAACAGCTGCTCAGTGAAACTGCATGGCTCACAATAGAGTTGTTGGGCACAGATCTGTTGGAGCGCTGAGCGCACATCAGATTATAACTCCATCATTTGTTTTATGTCATCTTCCAGTTTAATCTAGTTTATTATCAAGTCAATGATGATCTGTTCTCACACCCAAACAAGATGTTGCAGATATGCTTCAGGCCTTCAAACAGACAGTTTCCTATAAGTCCACATTGGGACGATGATCTTAAATAGAGGGGCTCTACACAATGAATGAACGTTAATGCATTCACATATACAGAACAGTGAATATTTAAAGACTGATGAGGAGATCATACCCGCCACAGATGAGCAGGACGAACCCACGCCTTGAAGCGATCTGGCCACAAACAGCAGAGCGTAGCTCGATGAGAAGGCAAACACTTCACAACAGGACAACAACACAAACAAAGAACCATCAGACATGATGCAAAACTGCTGCTTCTCATCGTGAACATTTGTTTGCTGGAACTTACTGATAGTAGAGATGAACATTATACAGAAGCCAGCAAATATGGGAAGCTGGTATCCTATCCTGAAGGGCCACAGAGGATAAAAGGCAGACATTAGAAATGTCCAACGTGAGTCTTTATCTTTAGCTTAGAAAAGAGACATTTATAACAATATCAGTGGAAGATGATTCGGTCACAGCTGCAGAAATTCATGAGAATAAAGAAAGAAAGCATTAGATTGATGGACAGTTATTAAATGAGTGAGAGTGTGGTCCAAAACAGCACGTAGCACAATAATGTAATATCATTAATAAACTTGATAGATAGCAAAGGATTTGACAAACCCTAAGCTACTTTTGCATGTGGCGTTCTCTTTTAAATGTTAGCCTGTTAACCAGAACAGTGGAGGAAGATTAGAAGGCTGAAAGCTGCCATCCGCATCAAAACAAAATCATAGCTTAGATACCTGACATGCTTGACTGGCCTTGTATTGTCCTCCGTCAGCAGAGAAGGTGACTAAGAAGCCGTAATAGGACCACATTCTTTGCTTCAATTACAGCATATGTGGGTGTCTGTATGAGACACTAAATGTTGCCTTTCAGGTGGAGTTACGCTTTTCCCTCCGCCCTCAACGTCTAATTCACCGTTTGGAAAATGTTCTCTCGCCATCAGCAGGATTTCAAATCATTCAGGACCGTTCAAATGTGTTTTTCACCAACATGATAAAATCTTACATGTCTCAGGTCATGTGTTTTATTCCAGTTTTATTCAGGTTCAGTTTAGTCACACGCCGCGGTGGACTCTCACGTCGACAGCCGATGGATGGTTGAGCCATGGACATTTATGAAACCTTGTCTAATTTTAATGAAATAGTAGCAACAGCTAATCTAACCCCATCAGTTGCTCTGTAACCATGCAACAGAAATCTGGTTGAAGGCTGAAAACCAGGACCAGGACCAGGCTGGACTGTAAATAAAGTAAAACTAGGACTTTACTCTGTAGAGGCTACACGACCGGATTTATCTTATCTGAAATCATAAATGAATTCTGCAGCTTTTCCTCAAGGGAGCTAGTAAAACGCCAGTTAGCACAGCAGACTGTTGTACTAACAGGTGTAAGCTGAGTTTGAGGCACAGTCACCTCATGTTTCACCAAGCAGCTAATAGTGCAGTGATGATAATCTCTGCTTCTGACACTTGTGTTCTAAGATGTAAGCTTAACACTAGAGTTTGGTTCCTTCATCATGTATAACATCTGCAGCCGTGGAAGCTGGAGCTCAACCATGGCACTGACTGCCCTTTACATTAATATCTTTCTCCCACAATATAAAAAATGTCATCTTAAAAGAATTTATTTTAACTCTTCAAGAATCCAAAAGATATTTTAAAAACCGGATTTTTAATGTAGTTCAAGGGAAGTGACTGACTCACTGTGGAGCACCCATGTATGAACAATCAGACACACACGTGCAGGAACGTTTAATCAGGAATTCTGCTCTATTTAGTTCAGTCGGACAGCTGTAGCTGACACTGCACCATCGAAGACACATCGACCTCACGCGTTCACCATGGTTTCCTACTAAGAACTTAAAATGGGAGTCTGTTCCTTCTCTCGTTTTAGATTAGACCATAAGTGGAATTCTACATTGTCCTCTCTTGACACAAATTTGAACCAAAATGTTGCCTCAAGCAAGCAGGAAGCCTCTACAGTCTGACAGGAAGCCAGTGCTACTGTCATCCTGTCGTCCTGTCCTTTGTCAGTCTGTCTTCACTCATCATTTCCTTTCACTGGGCTGGTTTCAGTCATTATGCAAATGTCCTGTTTATAAGGTTGGAAACCTGCAGTCAGCTGAGACTGAAGACGTCACCTGGTGATGATGAAACGTTTCTCCCACAAAACTCTACGTCCAGATGAACAGAGTCAACTTTTGGAGATTTACTTACCTGGATGATTGAGCATCAAGACGTTTCCTTTGGTTATTTTCTGTCTTTTTTAAAAATGTTTTTTGCAACATGTTATACAATCTCTATGTTCTGTTACTCTTTTTGTTGCTTTCGCTCTTTTCTTGAATCTTCACAGAATTACCTCAGTAAGCTTATGTGATTCTGATACACGTGCATTTAAATCCATCGTCATGCTGTTTCCCTGAGTATTGTTTGTCATTTAAATGAAAGATAGAAAAACGTTTGACCTGACAGAATACACATAGATTGTACTTTAAGATGACAAACATGTAGGATCTAATTTAACTGTGCAAGAGATGCAAGAACTTTGAGTATGTTTTGAAAGAATATTTGGCACGCTCCTACAAAAGTGACAAGAGGCGTAATGCCTCCTAAATCTAAGGTGATCAGCTCAATGACTACCATATACATTGACAAAGAAACACAGAGTAATTACAAAGACCTACCTGTTTGTGATTGGCCCTACAAACGGGTTGGTAATCAGCTGCACGGTGGCCTTGGAAGCAAACAGCATTCCTACTTTGACATTTTCATTAATCAGCTTGTTGGTGGAGCGGGGGCAGTCGGTTGAGTTTGGTGGGAGCTGTGTACCAGTAGGGGTCAGAGGGAGCAGGTCAGTAGTCCTAGCTGTGGTGTTGAACCCAGACAACCTAACAGTGTTATCGTATAAGGACACAATGCTTTGGAAGGAAGCTGGAGAATCCTGCTTCGGTGCCGTGTTGTTCTTAAGCACGTCTGTCGACTCATCCAGAGTGTACAGGTAGCTGGGAATGATGGGAACTGGTGGGTATAAAGAGGAGAGACAGAACCAATATACTGAAATCTGACATGAAAGGCAGACTGATGCTAATCCAGACTTCATTGCAACATCTGACAGCAGAGCAGAAAGTTAAGAGTGATTTCTGTAGGAACTGTACAAACCTCAAACTGGCAGTGCTTCGGCTGACACCCTCGAGAGTTTGTTTTTTTACATTTGGAAAAACGCTCCAAATATGAACACATGGAACCACTTTTACATTTCCAAACAAAGCAGCTCCTGTGCAAAGCAATAATCCTGCTTTCTAGCAAGGGGGAATCCTGTGGTTGCAAAGAGACACTGGATAGAGAAGACGGTCTCCGAATGATTTGATCTGAGTAACAGTTTCCTGATGTGTAAACTATGGTCCCCATTAAAATAGAAACGAATGATAAAGCAGATTATACTATTACTGCGTGATTGAGAAGCTGCAGCCAGCTCGTGTATTCACAGTGGTGCAAGCTAACCCATCCATCTTTTGTATACAGTCCATGTTTGAACTGCAACTAGTAGAACAGATTGGCAGATGCAAATTAGCCATTAAAACCATACAAACCAAGAGCTGTCATACTCAGAGCACTAAATATTTACACATGAATTGATCAGGATCAACAACATCCTGCATGCTGTGCACAAGCTGGCCTGGTGTCACCTTCTTTCTGCTCTCCTCTCTTTCACTCACCGTGCATTCATGCCGCTCTTAAATGTCATTAACTTTGTGTCTCCGCTCTCCTGCGGGCTCTGCTTTGTCCCTCTATATCTTACTGTGGGTTGTAGCTCTGACGCTGCACATTCTGGTGATCAGTCTCTGGTTTATCAGCTCCACCAATCATCAGTGCATTTATTGTTGCATTGTTAATTTTTCCTTCCTCGTCCTGTTAAAAATATACTTTGGCTTGGAGTAAACTGGGTGTTTCCATTTACACGCATTTATTGTTTTTACACACATTCGTAAACATGTTTATTTATTTCTTATCTGTATGTATTTTGCTTTGGTGACTGTTCTTTATAAACTGGACCTCGTATTTAAATAGTTTTGACTCTGACCTGTTGTATCTTGTTTTGTCTGCTTTGATGTTATTTGATTGTAATGCTGTATGGCATTAGCCAGGTCACCCGTGCAAAAGAGATGTTAGTCTAAGGGACTTCCTGGTTAAATAAAGATTAAATTAAATTAAAATGACAGACCAAAAATCGAGCTTTGCTATTAAATTCATAAAACGTGAAAATGTGCTCATGGAGGCTTTTATCCATTCTCCCTGCACTTATGGAAAACTGCAGCTCTGTGCACAGCAGAGATGTGTGATGAATATGTTATAATTAACATTTAATGCAGCCAAACTATCAGTAACATTCTGCCATGTTGCAAAGAAAGTAATTATAAATAGATAATTTCATACATGTTTTTATTTGTTTGTAAAACAGCCCTGAAGGGAATCTAAATCTGTTCTTTTAGGAAGAGCAGGTCGTGCATAAGAAGCACAGGAAGAGATGTGTTTCCTCCTACAGTGTAACTGACATTAAATCCGATCTTTCTGTGTGTTTTTCTAATGGAGAGCAGTCGGACGTCCGTACATGTCAAAGCAAACTGTGAAGTTAAACCTGTGCTATCAGCGTCTACATGGCTCTGCCGTTCAAACGCTGTCATTTAATTGGATGAGGCAGATTTAGGTAGATATTAAAATGAAGTGCACAAGAAGCGCCTCTTTGAGACGTCTGACTGACAAACCTGACTACCTGTTGCACACAGAGAGAGAGCGGAGCAGGAAACTTTACAGAGAAGGTGAGAAAAGCACCTACCGACCACCGTCAGCAGCATGTTGTCCAGAAGCAGAGCGACAAAAACAATGAAGAGAATCAGTTTCCTCGATTGTCTCTCCTCTCTGAGCCATTTGAGCAAATTAAACTGCCGGAGTGCGTCTAATCCCCCCATGGCGCAAGTCCCCGAAAGCGCAATACAATCGAAAAGGTAAGTAGTCCTGGAAAGAGACACGGCAATGATGGGTCAGCAAGTTAAAATAAATATCAGCTCTTTAAAACTGACGATAAGTTAGTAAAAGAGAAAGTGAGCGCTGAAATCTTACCTTAGACGTGTAAGGACGAGCTGGAGAGGCAAGAGATGGGAGGAGATGATGAGGTCTTTCTACTGACTGGACCCGCTATTGACGTCACACCCCTTTATGTGTAGATACCTGATAACACACTTTAAACAAAAGACACGAGGACGCAAACGGGACAAAGGCTACAGCTGGGCTTCAGGTCACTCATCGTACACACTGACTACTGTTCTGGCTCCTGAGCTAAGTAACTACAACACTGCATGCATGTGTAATGGTGACAACAGCCGGAACATTAATGGTGTCACAGGTTTGCTTTCAGCGCACTTTATATGGCAGCATGTTACAACACCCTAATGTCAAGGTGCTGCTTCATAAGATAAAGACCCTGCTTTATGACAGGCAGCCCGTTTCTGTGACTAGTTGTGGGCGGCGACGTAAGCAGACACCTTAATTCATGCAAGCACGTTTTTTCGTAGCTACTGTTCACTCACATTTAGAATTGGTTAGCATCTTGCCCACAGACATGCAAACCAAACCTGCTGGTTAGCAGGTGACCTGCTCCTGATGCACAGCCATAGATCCAGCCCTGAGGTGAAACACAGCCCGACACTAACTTTGTGTAACCTGCCTCTCCACTGCCAGCTGCTTCTTAGTTTATGTTGTAACTAATGAGCAAAACATGTAATAATGCATTAAACATGTAAAACACGCCAAACTGGACAAAACAGAGTTTGTTAACAAATTCGATCATGTGGAAAATGCTTTTGCTGAACACAGCACTAACTTTGACATCATACAAGCACAGATGGTGAACGAGTCCATATTGTCAGTGTTGCTATCAGGCACAGTTTATTGAAGTGAATATTCACACATCATGAACATTCTTGACTCATTTTACAGCTCGTGAAATGTAACATTGCATCTTTATTTGTGCTGCTTAATGTTCAGGCTGTTGGAGGACTTCCTGTGATGCACTGAGCATGTTCACAACATTTTTACTAACCATGCCTGTATATGTCTCTGTAGCACACTTTGTCTACACCCTCCTGTAGTTTGTGTTTTGTCCTCTTTCTGCTTCTTTCTTCTCTTTTATTTTCTGTTTCCCTCCTTTGCTCTCTTCATGTTGAAAGACAGACTTCATCACCGCCGTCCGAGTTCTTGCTCAGACGGGATTATCTAATGTTTGGGGTTCTGTCTCATTTCTAATATTATAGGGTGCTACAAAATATAGCACCTGGAGCAATAGAACAAACTGAAACCAGTCCACCCATTTTCTGGAGTTGGTCCCAGCTGTAATCAATCACAGGGCGAGCACGGAGGCAGACAACAATGCACCTTCATATTCACACCTACAGATTAACCTAGAAAACTGGCACCAGACCACGACCGCTCCACCTTACCACTGCAAAGAGATGCAAATATTTACAAAGTTTTCTGTATTGCTCATGAGCAGCCACACTACGCGCTCTGCAACATGTTCTCTAACATGTGTCCTTTATTTTTCTACGCATTTCTCTTGTTTTGTATTTTGATTGTGTTTATTTCTCCTGTTTGATATTTGTTCCTGCTCTCTATTTATATTTTATTCCATGCATGCACAGACAATCTCATTGCACATGCACAATGACAAAAAAGGGCTATTCTATTCTATTCTATTCTATTCTATTCTATTCTATTCTATTCTAAGACAGTACAATAAAGTGTATGATCCTAGTATTGTGTCATTTTGTGTCCTCTTGCTGTGGTGACTGCACTCACTGGTTGCAGCCAGATTTCAGCCAAATTCAGTTAAATGTTCGTCAGCACCATGAGCCCAACACTTATCATGAGTTTATTTGAGGATTGCTGCTTCAAACAAAGTCATGAAGCAAAGATAAAACAGCTGCTCAGTACTGTGGGATATTTAAACCTGGTACAGCTAAGCTTAAATATTACAACAGTCTAAGTTTAACGTTAATACTGCAGATTTGGTAATGTTAGAACGATGTTGTCTATACTTCTTTATTGTAAGTATAGTGGTAGGTAGAGATGTGCTGTTAAAACATTCACTGGTAACCCAGCTAGTAGTGCTAAAACTGGTTTCGTGCTTTAGGCTTGACGTGTTCTCTCGGTGCCACCTGCTGGATAAAACACGTTACTGCATGAATGTATGAATTCAGTTCTAATGAAGAAATGCTTGACAGACCATCCTAAACAAATATATATAACTTTTTAAAACTGTGTGAACATTCGGTTAAACGTGCTGAGAAAGAAAAACGTGCGTGAATGAGACAACAAAGTGCTTTAAGTGCTCAAAATGAGAAAAACACTACATAAATACTATACCTTACCATGATGCTACGTGAATCTGTTTCATTTGTTTATTTCTTCAGTATTTCAGTAAATGTGAGGATGGATGACACACTGCTGCAGACCACGGGTACAAATAAACTAACCTGTTCCTGAAGCACAGCGGGAGAAAGGATTATTTGATACCTTGCTGCTGTAAGTTTGCTCACTTACAAAGACATCACCAGTTTATCATTTGTATGGTAGTTTCATTTTAATAGAGAGAGAAGAATATCAACCAAAAATCCAGAAAAACAAACACATTGCATAAAAGTTAAATAAATAAATTGATTTGCATGTTACTGAGTGAAATATTTGAGCACCTACAGCCTCGCCGATGGTTAGCAATTTCTTTCATTCCAACCTCTCCACCAACAAGGGCAAGAGGTTCTGCCAAAAGACATCCGGACAAGACTGTAGACGTGTATAAGGCAGGTGAGAAGGTGACAACTGTTGTTGTGATTCTTCTTTTTATATGTTTGACATGCATCTCTGTTCCCTCAGCCAGAACACTGACGATGGGTGGGTCTTCCAGCAGGACAATGACCTGAAACATACCACTAAGGCAACAAAGGTATGGCTAAAAAAGAAGCTGATTAAGGTCATGGAGTGGCTTAGCCAGTCTGCAGTCCAATTCCCTAAATCCCAATCACATTAATAACTTATGTGTAGCTAACTGATGTATAAGGCAACCACAACAACATGGAAAACTTGTGATTCACTGTCTCTACGTAGAAACAAATGTTTAGCCTCATTATTACAGCTGTGAAAATGTAAACCTCCTTCAGCGCGCAATCGTGAAGGGCACATGCAACTTTTTCCTTTACTCATGCTTGTAAGAAAAAAGGCATGCAACTCCTACTGGCTCCTGATATGGGCCTGTTTCAAAGCCAAGAGTGAGGCAGAGACTCTCTCGGTGACCTAATCCTTTTCGCTGTTCTTAAAGGTTTCCACGTTTCCTCTGCTGATGAACTTGACACATTGGCGGTAACAGCTTACAATTCGTGTTTGGCTCAATTTAAAAGCCATGGACATGATAGCCATGCCGACAATGATGAACAGCGAGGTAAGCATGAAGAAGTTGGGGTGCTTGGGTATAATATCACCAAAACCAATGGTAGTGAGGGTGATGAAGCAAAAGTAATAGGGATCAAAGTCTTTAAAATCAGTTTCCCATATTGGCAGAATCAAGCCGCCAAAGCAAATGTAGGCAAAGACGATGAAAAGAATGAGCACGAAGGGGACATTCAGTGTTTCCATTTCATCTCCTAATCCTGTGAAATCCCACAAGGCATATCCTTTGGGTGGTGGTGGCAGACGATCGAGCTCTGGGCAGGACAGCGTCCTGAGCAGTGGACCCTCCCTCAGTAAATTCTCTCTGGCAAGAATCTTTTCAAAAATCTCTTTGTTGTTTTGAAGCTGGATGGACTTGTGCCGTACATCTGCCTGGCTGCGGAGCACCTGTCGGATGTCGAGGGGCTCGCGGATCACAACGTCACGGCTGAAGACAAAAGTACCATCCTCCAGGACCTGGCGGCTCGAGTCTCTCTCCTCAGTCTTCCATGGAGACCAGGTGCGGGAGAAGAGGTTTTTGGAAAGGGTGTGAGCATGGATGTAGGCTCTAGACATCACCATAGCAAGGAAGTCTCCAACATCGAGGATGACCAGAAGCATAAGAGGGATGCCCACCATGGCATAGAAGACACACGCCACCTTACCAGGCAGGGTGACGGGATAGATCTCCCCATAACCTGAAACAACAGACATTTTAAAGCTGTAATTAAACTGTTAATTATAGGACTGGCTTTTGGTAACGTTTGTGTAGGAAAAATGTGATCACGACCCTTCTAGACAACGTTCTTGTTATACTTGAAAACAGCACAGCTCCTGTGATCACCATGAAAACCTGTGCTGGGAAAAAGCATCAAAGCTCCTGATCAACAAACTCTGACGTGAAGAAACTTTGTAGCTGCTCCATCCACCACTGTGTGTTTTACACATGTGCAGTAACCAACAACATGCAGATGAACTGTTAGCTTAGTCTGAAGCATGTTTTAATTATACAGCTTGATGAAGGCTGACGTACATGGAGTCTACAGGGGCACCAGATGTACTAGGCCGTGCTTATTTCAAGGTTTTCATAACATTTTCACATTGAAAGTGAAATCATATAAAATACTGTCTTACTTAAATTGCAGTAACATTTAAAAATATGAACATAAAAGTTTTTTCACAAGCCAGTAAAAATGTACATCATAACATCTTGTTTTTAACAGACACTTTGCATCAAAGCACAGGACAAACTTCACACTCATTCACACTCAAACACTCAGAGTAAAGATTCATTATTATTGCATATTTATCTGATTTTATTTGACTTTGACTCTACTTGAGAGTATTTATATATTTTTGCATTTAAGAAAATGTTTTCTTTAAAAAATAACATTTAATATGGTAAGTAAATGCAAAAGGTTTCTTTTTTTGTTTTTGACAAATGAAATGGACGAAGCAAAAAACACTGAAATTTCTCAAATGGAAACCAATGAGCACCTGTGTTCTTCCTCTTTTGGATATTTATTATTGCTCCTGAATAAGACAAAAGTGTTTATGTCTGATTACTCAATTAATGATGGAAAATAGATGAATCAATTACTAAAAAAATCAATAGCTGCTGGCCTAATAACAACCTATAATTGAATGTTGAGAGCAATATAAATACATAGTGAGTAAAAAAGTTAATTGAAGAAGAAACACTCAATGCATCACAGGAATTCCCAGCAGTAACTAAGGGAGGATTCAGGGTCACCTGGTCCAGCCCTAACTATATGCTTTAGCAAAAAGGAAAGTTTGAAGCCTAATCTTGAAAGTAGAGATAGTGTCTGTCTCCTGAATCCAAACTGGAAGCTGGTTCCACAGAAGAGGGGCCTGAAAACTGAAGGCTCTGCCTCCCATTCTACTTTTAAATACTCTAGGAACAACAAGTAGGCCTGCAGAGCGAGAGCGAAGTGCTCTAATAGGGTGATATGGTACTACAAGGTCATTAAGATAAGATGGGGCCTGATTATTTAAGACCTTGTATGTGAGCAGCAGGATTTTGAATTCTGGATTTAACAGGAAGCCAAAGCGGGAGAAATCTGCTCTCTTTCTAGTCCCTGTCAGGACTCTTGCTGCAGCATTTTGGATCAGCTGAAGGCTTTTCAGGGAGTTTTTAGGACTTCCTGATAATAATGAATTACAGTCGTCCAGCCTGGAAGTAATAAATGCATGAACTAGTTTTTCAGCGTCACTCTGAGACAGGATATTTCTCATTTTAGAGATGTTGCACAAATGGAAGAACGCAGTCTTACATATTTGTTTAATATGTGCATTGAAGGACATGTCCTGGTCAAAATGACTCCAAGGTTCCTCACAGCATTACTGGAGGCCAAGGTAATGCCATCCAGAGGAAGAATCTGCTTAGATACCATATTTCTAAGCTTTTCAGGGCCGAGTACAATAACCTCAGTTTGATCTGAATTAAGAAGCAGAAAGTTAGCGGCCATCCAGGTCTTTATGTCTTTAAGACATTCCTGCAGTTTAACTAATTGGTGTGTGTTATCTGGCTTCATGGACAGATAGAGCTGGGTGTCATCTGCATAGCAGTGTAAATGTATGCTATGTCTTCTAATGATGCTGCCTAAGGGAAGCATGTATAATGTAAACAGAATTGGTCCTAGCACTGAACCCTGTGGAACTCCATAATTAACCTCAGTGTGTGAAGAGGACTCTCCATTTACATGCACAAACTGGAGTCTATTATGCTTATCTCTTCAACACCAGATAGTGGGAGGTATCTCTCAGGGAGGAAGTGAAGTTTTTGTCCTTAAAAGCTGATGTGCAGGAAAGAGGAAAAATGGGAAAGGATAAGGATTTGAGAAGTTTGACAAAGAGCAAACTGTGATTGTTAGACAACAGGATACAAGGAAGGAAAAGTGGTGAACCTGCAGTAGTCATGGCTAGCTGAGGACGGCAGAAGCAGAATGAACACACACCACCTACAACAATGATCGTTGAGGTAGACCATGTGTACTCTTTCATGGAAACAGTGTTCCCTAATGGCTGGCGCCTTTTTCAGAAGGATATTGCACCCTACCACTAAGCAAAAAGGGTTCAGGATTGGTGTGAGAAACACAACAAGGAGTTTGAGGTGTTGACTTTGCCTCCAAATTCCTAGGATCCTGATCCAATCAAGCGTCTGTGGCATGTGCACAGCCAAGAAGTCTGATTCTCACCTTGCAACTTACAGGACTTAAGGATCTGTTACCAACATTTTTCATGTACCCGCTTTAGGCTTGCGGGTGAATGTTTCTGTAAAGGTTTCTAGTGACTGTCTTTGAAACTCAGCTCTAGTCATTTACTAGTGTCTTGGCAGTTGTTCTGGGGTCTTTCTGGGACAGATCTCACATCAGTTATTGGCATGATGCTTTCTGAAGTGACTGCTCAAACCCTTCATGACGTTTTTATACTGTGTGTAAACTGAAACATAACCCAGCTCCCTATCATAATACACTTTGATTTGACAAGCTTTGAGCTCAGCAAAGTTAAAGCACATTACTGGTTTGTGTTATGGCAGCTTTTCAGGGGGGCTAATAATTTTGACCCTGGTAATTTTTTTCCTGAAATAATTCCGGTATTGTGTGAGAATGGAAATAATTTATGTTTTTAAAAGAGAACTAATATGTTGGTCTGTTCAAAAAAGCCCTTGAGAAATTTTTGACAAATTGCACTCTTGCTGTGAGCCTTGAACGAAGTCTTCAGCTTACAAGACAACACAGCAGACAATGTTCCTCTGAACCTCTACAACTTCTAATAAGCTTTTTTGCGGTTATGTAAAAGGCCTTCTCCTCTGGACGCGCCTCGCCTTTGGAGAGTTGTGGGCTTCCTGTAGCTGCTAAGCCATTAGCAATTAGATCTCTTTACCACTTGTGATGTGTTTGACAGTAACACTAATGTATCTACACAAGGCTCTTACACATCAAATCAGGTCAGTTCCAGCTAAGAATGGTTTACTCAGCACTTACAATATAACCATAACAAATTCATCAATAATTATTCATCATAACGATAAATTATGAATAAGGAATAGCAACAGAATCAGCTGTGGAAATCATGGAAATTTGTACATTTCTGACAGCATCCATCCATCTGCCCTTTATCCTCTGCTGATCCCACTCAGGCTGAGAGGTGCTGGAGCCTATCCCAGCTGATCACCAGTCCATCACAGGGAGACACAGACAACAGTTCACATTCACACCAATGGGCAGTTTGAGTGAACTTAACCCCACTCACTGCCTCATAGCAGGAAGGTCCCGGTTTCAACGCCGCCATCTGGGTGGGCCCTTCCTTTGTATCTTCTCCCTGTGTCCATGCGAGTTCTGCGTGGGTTAGTTAGAGGAGTTCCTAATGTATATGTTCAGTATGTAAATTTTGAGTTAGAGCATTCAAATTTGAAATGATTGACTTATTAGAGCAATACAGTTTGACTTTAACACTCCCTTAAATATAAACATAGAAGCCAAGGAGTCAGGAGTAAACATCCTCTTTAGGTCTGTAGTTGGGCACTGGGGTGGCGGAGGAGTGGGAGCACTACAGGCAGCGATACAGTAACACTGACATGTCAGAGGGACAGAATAGAAACTACAGGTAACTGAAAACTGTGTCTGGTATCTGACATGACAACAGTAAAATACACAGTGTTAGCACTGCTATCTCACAGCAGGTTATTCCTGGGCTTAAACCTGGGTAAGGTGAAGCTCAAGATTCTGGTCACATTGGAAAAAATGCCAGGGTTGATGCTGCCTATGTCAGCCCAAGTCTTACAAAAGATATCGTTAATCTCAAGATCGTCAATTCCAGGTCAAAAAAGGCTTAAAAAATGAAAACAAAGTGGTTTGCTGAACTCGCTCACAGAGTTCGATCCATTTCTCATAATTAACATATCAAATTTTAGTTATCTTTAAAAATATTATCTATATTTCGTGAGTATATACTGACATTAACTCCTGATAATCAAAAACCAACGCAAGTCAACATCTTTAGACTCCCGTGGAAAAATGGCCAACACAAATTCACACATTTAGCCTTAGCTGAACTTGGCATGCCACTCTTATCAATCAAAGATGATCAGTTCTGGCTCTTACAAAAACAAATAACAAACAACAAACAAACAAAACTTTGCAGTAGACAAAACCCCCACATGTAGGCGTCAAACTAGAGAATCAACCAGACAGTGGGCGATATCACAGTTGTCTGTGCATGATGGACAGAGCAGCACTCTGCAGCTGACTTCTAACTGAGAGCATGCAGACATTCACATCGGGAAACATTTTTAATGTGCTCTGATGTAAAACGATGGCTGACTGACTAGTTTACCTCAGTCACGTGTGGTGGTAAACACAGCTTGATTCCATTTGGGATGTGTAGCTGCTGCATGATTGGTGGGCTGTTTCGCGTTGTCAACATGATATGTTTCGTAGCTCCCCTCCCGGACATCAAGTGCAGTAGGCTTCTGATTAGTTTTAGAAAGTGCCTTTGCAAAGTGTACCAAGAGAAGAGTCAGTGATCTTTGTGGCACTGGTCCCAAGCACACTTACAGAGCCTCAGATATCCCAACAATCCAAATCCCAGCGACCATCTGATCATTAGACATCGATAAAGAAAGACATGATTTGTTCTTGGATGTTTGCTTGTTGGACTGATTTTTTTATATGTG